CTGATGTGTACACTGAAATGTGGTGTGCAAGGCCTGCTGGGAACAGTGCCTCTTCCTGCTTATTTATTTATTCTGTTCAGCGTCCCTTTAACTTGGTCTGAGATTGATTGAGACATTATCTTGGACTTGGAAGATGGGAGACACATTGGAATGACAGACACCTGATGGATGGAACAACAAACTCTGACAAGGTTCAGTGTTTGGTTTTCTGTTCAGTATTTAGAAAGAATGTTGCTGTCGTTGTTTAGCATAGGGAAAGAAAAAGTTTCACCTCATTATCAAATTAAATATTTTCTGAGCCTGCCAAACATCTCTAGACTACATCTACTTTTTCAGAGAGTATAATTAATCAAAGTAGGGACAGAAAGTTCATCCCTTGGGCCAAGTTACATTCCTGTCCACTTTAGGTATCTGTCATTTTAGCTTACAAAATGTGATAGTATCATAAGTGTATATTGTCTTTTAGAAGGATTTATATGCATATGCTATAGCTGAGCATCATCTCTTTGGAGTAATAATAATTACCTACTAATCCAAAACCATAATATAATAGAAAGCAAAAATATTATAATAGGTATCTAATAAATATATATCCATTGATATTAATAGTGTCCTATGTCTTAATCATGTGACTGTAAGGGGGCGGGGAGAATGATCCATTTAGTACTCTGTTAAGTAGGGCTGTTAAACTGCCTTAGCTGGTTTGGCTTACTGGATAGAGCGTCGGCCTACAGACAGAGGGGCCTCAGGTTCAATTCTGATCAAGGGCACATGCTTGGGTTGCGGACTTGATCCCCAGAAAAGGGCGAGCAGGAGGCAGCTGATCAATGATCCTCTCTCATCATTGATGTTCCTATCTCTCTCCTTTCCTCTCTAAAATCAATAAAATACATTTTTTGAAAAATCACTGTAAACATAATTTATATTGACCTCTCTCATAAGGCTGTTTACAGTGATTAATGCCTTACAGGTACTTAAACTAAGAATACTCCCACGATAGGCAAGCTGTTTTATAGGTGTGACACATAAGAAATGAACTGACTTGGGGCTGTCAGCTTTACTCTGAGTTTTAGATAATTTCACTACTGTCTGCTTGATATCTTCCCACTTCTGGTAATAGAATTTTTCTTTTCTATAGAAAAAATAACACTTGTGGCTTTAGTGGGAACCGTGTCATTGTATCTTTCCACCCACACCCTTCCGTGCACACTGGACCGCCGCCACTGGTGCCCTGGCCAGGATGGTGTGTGCCCGGAGTGGCTCTGGACTTCTCTTTTGGAGCCATTGGGAGCCAACCCCTCTGCTCGATTGCTCGAGGAAGGGCCTGGGCCTGCCTACGACATCTCTCCTGCTTCATGGAAAGAGCCTGCGTACAGGAATACACCATGCAGATTCAGGCCTGGAATGAGAATCCAGTCGTTTCTAAAGCTGGACAGCCTGTTGTAAGAGATGTAGCCCCAGTTTAATTTGAGCTAGTTTGGGTTGTTTTCTGTTTATGTGTGTGTTTATTTGGTTTTGCTATTTGCAACCCAAGAGCCTGAGTAATAGATGTTAGGATTGCTGGAAGGCAAGAAATGTGAAGGATTATCTCACTGATTGGAAGGAAGATGGTGAGGCAGTGAAATTGAATAAAAAATGAAAAGAATTCACAAAGATTGATGGATTTTTATGAAGAAAGAGATGTGGAGAAAAACTTTTTCTTTTGAAACTGTAACATAGAAAATAAATTGTGTGCTGACGGGATGGAGAAAGCATGGTGTTCATTTCTGTGCAGTATGTTGCTCAGATGTTTGAAATTTTTAGTCTTCACGTATTAGGACATTGGAGGCAAGAAGTGTAGACCCATATAGGGTTGACGTAAACTGGAAAAGGCAGAGGTGGAGCCATGGACCTAACTTGACCCAAGGAATCAATGTTGGGTCTCGCCTCCACTTCTCTCTATCCTTGTGCCAATGTTGGGTCTCACCTCCACTTCCCTTGTGTCCTTGTGCCAATGTTGGGTCTCACCTCCACTTCTTTTGTATCCTAAGAGAAGAGGCCTGGGCTTTCGTGTGTAAAATCCCTAGGAAGGACTCTCATTGGCCCAGTTTGAATCAGATACCTACTTGGTAAACCAATCACTGTATCAGGGGAAGGGGACACAGAGAAAAGGTACCAGGCAGTAGGCCATTTGGGATCCAATGAGCAGAGCCTCTAAAACAGTGGTTCTCAACCTTCCTAATTCCGCGACCCTTTAATACAGTTCCTCATGTGGTGACCCCCAACCATAAAATTATTTTCGTTGCTAATTCATAACTGTAATGTTGCTACTGTTATGGATCATAATGTAAATATCTGATATGCAGGATGTATTTTCATTGTTACAAATTGAACATAATTAAAGCATAATGATTAATCACAAGAACAATATGTAATTATATATGTGTTTTCCGATGGTCTTAGGCGACCCCTGTGAAAGGGTCATTCGACCCCCAAAGGGGTCTCGATCCACAGGTTGGCGACCCACAGGTTGAGAACCGCTGCTCTAAAAGAAGGCAGACCGAGCACACGCTCGGCCCTGACCAGTGTGGTGTGAGCACTGTCCAGGTGGGCTCACATAGCATGTTACCTCTGATACCATGCGAAGTCGTGGGGAAATAGTAAAAGGGAAAGAACAGTATATTAAATTCTAAGGGTTGGTAATAGTGCACTTGTATTTTATTTTCAACACATATAAAAGGAGTTTTACTTCGCTGCTTTTATGGAAGTAGTTGTATCCAACTGAAATGATAATCGCATTATTATAAAGCACAGGAAAAAAATGTGAATAGCCCAAAGCAAACTATAGGTTCTAAAGTGTTTAAATTTCTCATCTAATATATTATGTTTGTGTTTTAGAGGTGTGGTTTAAATATCCAAACCAAAGCAGTAAACTAACTGTTAGAAGGCATTACAGAGAACACCTGAGAGACAGATGCAGTAACGTGGCGAGCTCTGGCCCCTCAGTGCCAGGAAGCACTGCCCAGCCCTCACTGGAATGAGTCCTCAGTCTCGGTTGCATGGTCTTTCTGCCCCAAGGTTGCTTGTCCGAATAAATGTAAGAATTCGTGGAGTCAGAAGTGGCTGCCAAGTGATGGGCCCTGCAGGTCGGTTGACACAGTCGAGCCCTCAGTTCCCATCTTTGGGTGGCTGATTTGCCAGAAATGTAGAAAAAAATAATATATTTCTTCATCCAGATGAAATAATTCATTAGAATTCCTGAACTAGGAACTTGCATATACACACACACACACTGACTTGAGAATTGCCAAGATAGCTATTAATACAAGAGTTTGTGTTATATAAGTAACATCTTACCAGCATTTAAATAATGTTATTTTTCATTGCAATCCTCATTAGTTCTGTGAAATTGAGTTAATGTTCAGGAAGGAAAGATTATTTGAAATACCTATAGAATGTGTTTGAATATTGGGAAGGGAGGGAGTGTCAACAGACAGAACATTTTAATTACATGTAACTTGAACTAATTCAGTAAGGAATAAATATTCTTACAGGCAAAGAATGTTTTAACACATAAATTATGTATTATTTTTAAATGAATGTAAGGCGATTTGCAAACATACATATTTTTGCACTGATGATTTATTTAACAAATTTCTTCTTGGGTAACTATTTGCATAGCTCTCTTTAACAAGAATATATAAATTCAGCCTGACTGGCGTGGCTCAGTGGTTGAGCATTGACCTATGAACCAGGAGGCCATGATTCAATTCCTGGTCAGGATACATGCCCAGGTTGTGGGCTCGATCCTCAGTCAGGGGGTGTGCAGGAAGCAGCCAATCAATGATTCTCTCTCATCATTGGTATTTCTATCTCTCCCTTTCTTTCTCTGAAGTCAATAAAAACATATATTTTTTTAAAAAGAATATAAATTCATATATCTCAGGAAGCCTGCCATTTAGATCATTATATAAGATGAACATATTGAGAAGTTAAATATGTTTAAATAGTGGCCTTATTGAAAGTATGGGAAGAAGCCTGTATCAGTTAGGGTTTGATGAGAGCGTCAGGACCACGAGGAGTGATGTGAGGAATGTGGTCCTGGGAGGTGGGCGGTCTCTGCAATGTTGTTGGACCTGTACCTGGTGCTGGTCTGACGTCAGCAGAGCCATCATCAGGAAAGCAGAGGAAAGTGAGAGCGACTGCAGTCTGCAAGGGTGAGCTGAAACTCGTGAGAACAAATGGAACCGTATGTCTCAAGCTTTCAAGCCTGCAACTTGGATGATACAGGGACTGCAGAAGAGCTGGTGCACTGCATGGAGCAGCACGGGGACTCATCCCAAGATAGGGAGACGTGGACGAGCAGGGATTGTTGGAAGCCTAAGATCTGGCCAGAGCTGGGAAGGCTACAGCCTCCGTGCTGCAGGCAACACAGCAGACCCACGCGTGTGTGTGAGCTGCAATAGTGCCTGACCTTACCCCAGTTTCCCTGCGTAAACACGGCTGCCGCTTGCTTTCCACCTGCCAGGTCTCATGCAACATCCCCTGTGGCTGTCCCTGAGCTACAGGTAAACAGGAACAGGCATAGTCCGGCTTAGCTAACCTGACAAAATGTGGCCATCATGGTTCACCCGTGTAGGCTTGGCACTTGGATACACCTTTCAGTCATATTTAACTTCCATATAGAGCAGTAGCAAAACCGTGCTTGTGTCAAACAGATTCAAGTATCCCTCTCCCAACCTGAAACAGTGGCTTTGAGGCATGCAACTGTATGTTTACATGGTTTCAAAGTAAATAACAGAGGACCTGTGTGTATTCCTGACAGTTAATGCAGATAATGTTTACATGCGTCTCTTCAGGAACTTTTCCTCCAAACAGTACCAAGAGGGTTAATGTGTCCCATCAAAGGTAAGTGGAATTCACTGTGGATATTTACTGTGGGAAATTTATAGAACTAAAGCAAAAGAGAATTGTTTCACTTTATAGTTAATACTTTTTATCTTTTTTCAACTTTTTTGCAGTTTTTTGAGGTGCCGTTTGATTCAAACATGAATAGGACAAAGAACAGACCTCTGGTTCGTGGGCAGATCAGGTAAAATCATGAATACAGGTCTCACATTGCAGAATATCCCTTTGCTTATTCATCCGAAATCATTCCCCGGTCTTTGCCTTGAGTCGTGAATTGAAAATAACACACCCCAAAGGGACATATCGGTTTGGATACATAGTACTCTTAACTCTAACCAAAATGTATACAGAGCACTTAGAGTGGATCTAAGATTTACAGTTTTGTTGTGGGAGGTAACTCATGCAGTAGACTTCTTATTCAGTTCAAATTTGAGACATGAACTGCTTTCACTTATAGTGGCTGTAAGTAAAATCATTCCGTTAACACAAGTGATTTCCAACACATCCATATGGGGTCACACAAGAAAGTAATGTCTGAAGCCTTATGTTTTCACATAAACAGATAATGCTGTTACATGCCAAGTAAATTACTGCCTCCATTACTCTCCTTTGCACTGAATTCAATTACGTAGAACTAAAATATTTAATATTTAATATTTTAATATCACTAATGATTAATAATTAAATCCTTTACTTTCTGGAGGCCTTGAAACTGGTATTTAAAATATCTTAATCTAATAGATTATCATAAGCTGAGAAGAATAAAAAGAGCTAAGTGGTTTATACTAAGTCAGTGAGGCCTCTCTTCCTGTGTCCAGGCAATGCCTCATGGAGCGTCCCATCTATTGGGGATCAAACAATCACACATGTTAACTAACACAATACAGGAAACAAATGCAGGTATAGTCAGTAAGACTGTAAAAAAGGTTCTTAATGTTAACTGTTTTTAGCCATACAGTTCTTTTTTCTTTTTTTTTGCATATACCATGCTCATTGTTAAAAAGAATTAACATTATTAAACTGTCTATACTACTTAAAGCAACCTACAAATTCATGCAATTCCTATCAAAATACCAATGTTGTATTTTATAGAACCAGAAAAAATAATTTAAAAATTTATATGGAACCACATAATTTATATGGAACCCAAATAGCCACAGCAATCTTGAGAAAGAAGAACAAAGTTGGAGATATCAAACTATACTACAAGACCACAGTAATCAAAACAGCATAGTACTGGCATAAATGCAAACACATAAATCAAGGGAATTTAAGATACCATTTTATTGAAAAGAGCAATAAAGCCAGATGAAAATATGTAAGAACAGAAATCTCATCTACTTATGTTTTATTTCCCTTTCGGAATATAAATAACGCTTCCTGCTGTGATTATAGTTAGAAAATGTCACAGTACTTTTATTTGAGACAAGTTGTTTTAGGTGGGAGAATGCAAATTCTGTAACCCATCTCAAATGCCAAAAGCTGCTCTCGCCACAGGTTAAGTCACGAGTAGGTTCTTACTACTTTGGAAATTCTTTTCAGTCACTTTTCCTCAGTCACATTGTCCTCTTCTTTAGAACCAGTGGGATTACGGGAGCAAGAGGTCCATAGGCATATAGCATGATCAGATGAAAGCCAGCCGTACTCCTAGGAGCTCACCTTACTTTGCCCAGTGTGGTCCTTTCCTGCCCACAGGAGAGCAGAGTGCACAGCATTTCCAGGGCAGCACGTGGCCTGGGGATGGTTCAAGACGAGGCTACGGTACAATTGTTAGTCTCCTAACTTCACCTTTTTGTTTGCATAATAACCTTAATTGCTGTTTCATAGAGCAAACTATAGGCCTGGGAAACAGACTCAAACTTACTTTTATATGTAGGATGTATTTTATTAAATGTGTATAAGGAGATGTTAAGAGTCTGGGGCAGAAGTCTTACACTAACTGAAGACTTTATATCTTGTCAGTGTGTATTATAAAACAGTGAATTACTGTCACTACACAGAGTAGATGGCTGTAGGGGTGCACTAGAAAGTCTTACAGACTATCCGTTAACATTTATTTCTCAGCTTTGGTGGCTCACATTCACAGTGGCTATTGAACATTTAAGCGCACAGGATAGCCAGTTTGTTTTCAATTTTTTTTTATTTTGTGTGTGTTTATGGCCCCATTTCACTTGGGCTGGTATGCCTATTGAATCTATACAACTTCGCAGACGTCATTTACAATCTGGCATGTAAAATGTGAGTCCCTGTCATTGTTGATGGGCAGTAGTATAGTAGGTCTGGGAAAGAAATCTTTGAAAGTCTTTTGCCATTGAAAACTATTTCAGCCTTTGTACATAGCTTGGTTTCTATTCATTCTAAAGACATTTATAAACATTTATGGAGAAAATGTATTTCATTAACTTTTTCAAGTGATTGCAATTTACTTTGAAAATTTTTATTTAAGAAACATGTGCCTGGACTAGTTGGTCTGAGATTTCCTGAGGCCCCGGGGAAATGCCCCTTTGCACATGTGGACCCATCTGGCACGTCCCTTCTCTGAGCTCTCAGTCCTCTCTTCTGGAAAGACATGGCACGTGGGCACACACTGAACGCCTTCCAGAGCTGACACAGAAGCCAGTGCTTTTGTTTGCTTGTTTAGTTTATTCTTTACTCCAGAAAGGATTTGAGGGATCGTAACACTGTAATAGTTAAATAGAGAAGTAGGCAATAAGGGATACAAAACATAGAATTTGGGATAAATGATAAGGTCACAATAAAAGCTTATCAAATGCATATATATATCTAGTATGCAAATTGTCCGGGAGTATGATAGCTCACTATGAAGTGTGCTGACCATCAGGCGGCAGCGTGGAATGAAGGGAGGCCCTGGCCGGCAGCCAGCAGCTGGGGAATGGAGGCCCTGGCTGGCAGCCAGAAGGAAGGCCCTGGTCAGCAGCCAGAAAACCCTGATCGGCCCTTATCACTGGGCAGGCCTAGGGAACCTACCCATGCATGAATTTCATGCACCGGGCCTCTAATAGTTAATAAGGTTGGACTGTCAATTTCATTGTGCATTTCCTGGTAACATCACAACTACATACATCCTATTGCTAGTCCTAAGATAGATGATGTTCAATTTCCCCCAATATTCAAGTGAGACTGCAGGTCCAAGAATTATGAATAACTGACAGAACAAAAATTTGGCCTGTCCATTTGACTGCTCACCCTGAGTTCCTAATGACTACACAAAACTTTCTCTAAAAGTGTCATGTCCCTGAGAAGAAAACAGCATTCAAGGAAGACCCAACTTCTACCTCTTCTTAAAAATAAGGGACACTTGGTGAGGATATTAGAAGAATGTCCTCCTGAATTCCGTAGACCAATGAAATAGCAGATTTCTAAGCCATCCTGGTGCAAGCCAGAGACAAAATATCAAAGAGCAAACAGCTCCTAGTGAGAACCATCTATGGCCCTGAAGCAGTGGAGGAATAGGAGGCTCTTGGCCAAGCACAGCAGCCCAAGAATGCATCTCTAGCAGCTGGTCCCAGGTCAAAGTGAGGCAGTGGAAGGAAGAGGAGGTGCAGTGTTACGTGTGCATCAGGTGACGGCTGGAGTCTAAGAGACGATGTAGGATGAGTGCTGTGCCACATGATGTGATTGCAAAATGTGCCAGTCTATTGGCCATACACTTGCATTTGCTCAGGAGAGTCCTGGTTTACACCTGTTGTCCCAGCAGAATTATTATTATTTTTTAACATTTTTATTGATTTCAGAGAAAATGGGAGAGAGAGAGAAAAAACAGACAGACAGACAGATAAACAGAAACATCAGTGATGAGAGAGAGTCATTGATCGGCTGCCTCCTGCACACCCTACAGCGGGGATCAAGTCCACAACCTGGGCATGTGCCCTGACCAGGAATCAAACAGTGACCTCCTGGTTCATAGGTCGACACTCATCCACTGAGCCACACCAGCCGGGCCCAGCAGAACTATTGATAGCGCCCCCCTCCCTCTCAGCAGTGTCCAGTTTGGATAATAACTATATGCCATCTGATGGTGATGATTATAATCACAGAATTTCTTATTTTTAAGGCTTTTTCATACAAACTCCAATTGCTTATTTTGCACAAAAGAGGAAGAAATACATAAATGGAAAGTATGATGTATCTAAATCAGTTTGTTGGTAGACAATGCAATGCAGACGTCTTTAAATTGCTTTTTAAAAGTGACACTCAATAAATATCTTTATGTTTTCTTATAAATTGGAAAAGATGAATAAGATCAACTGACTTGTTTGGACATTTCTGGCAAAAGTGTCATGGCTCTGAATGATTGTTTTGAGAAAAGTTGGGCTTAGAGCTCCCTTTTATTCTCTGGCAAAGAACACGCCTGAGATTGCTTATGTCACATATCGGGAACTTACATTGAAGGTGAGGAACCCACTGAAGAAGTCGCATTCGCGTAATGTAATGAGGATGAATATCAGAGAAGCTCACCTTATCAGACAGTCAGACTTGGTGTAATCCAATTTTAACTTGGTGCCTGGAGGAAGTTAATTAGGGACTTTTAAAAATGTATGTACTAGGAAACATCTCAGTCTTCAGATATTCTTCATATTGTAACTAAAAATGTCATGTGACTCTAAGCATGGGCAAGCCATTGAATTAATCTTTCCACACCACCACTTTCTGACACATAGGGGTCAAAATTCCAACCGTGTTCCTCTCATACATAACATTATTGTAGGGATAACAGTAAGAGCAATAAAATCCTGTAAATAAAAGTTCATTGTTGAAGAATGGGTTTCAAATTCCAGAGAAATGTAGCGTTTGCAGAACCGTTATCTGTTTTCAAAATTTTCTTTAAAATAAATATTTCCATGTTTATCAGGCAATTCAGATTAGTTTCAAGGGAGAGGGGGAAGAAAGCAAAACACTTGGCAAACCAGAGAGAGCTTGGAGAGGAAAAGTTCCATGTTTGCATTGTCATGCTTGAGTGGGCCCAGCCACGCAGTGGCAAGTAGGCGGTTCCTGAGTCTTCATTCCTGCTGTCCTCATCGGGCGCTTACGGAGGGTGTTGTCCCTGTAGAGATGTGTGCTAGTTGCTAAGCTTCCTCAGAGGTACAGGAGACGGTCTCCATCCTCTTAGCATTACCTGAGGAGGAGGCAGTGCGCATGCTTGAGGACCCTGAGTGCCTGCAA